TTACTTCCCGAGAAAGGCTTGCTTAAGGTCCAAGCTTGACCGCTCTAGAAAATAATAATTCAACGCGCGCAAGAGCTTGTCAAATGCACTACTACACATTTCATATGATAGAAGGTAGGCAAATGACGGGATAAGAACGTGCAACAAGATCGTTGCACACAAGTGAGAAGGGAGATGCCAAAAGAAAGAAGAAGAGGGATCAAAAGGAAAAACAAGAAAATAAGAAGAAGAAGGGGGAATAAAAGAATGGAAAGAAAAAGAAAAAGGCAAATCCTCCTCACTAAAATATTTTTGGGTGGAAACATCACCCTTTTCCTCAATAATAGACGAATGAGGGAAATTAAGATCATCATAGACAAGGGAGTCCCCAATAGGCTTATCAACAAAGGAAGGGAGAAAAATAGGGCAATAGGGGATGTGGTCAAACCTTTGAGAAAAAGGGGTATGAGAAATAGGCAAAGGGTTCGCGACTCCCTCAACACAAGGTCTCACATCGCCATTGAGGGCATGAAAATCAATCATAGAGTCCTCAAATGAAGTTCTCTCACAATCAAAATCTCCCTCAAGCTCAAAAACTCCAAAGGAATCAACCTCATCCTTCTTTGCACCACAATAAACAACCTTTCCTTCCACAAACTCAAAACCTAAGTCCTCAAAACCGTGCATGAATGGATGCAAATATAACTCAAAATCATCTCTCTCCCATGAAGCATCATCAATGAACTCACTTAGAAGGCTATGGGTTTTCATTTGACTCTCAATAAACACATTGGACATAACCTCAAACAAGTCCAAACACTCATGGATAGAAGAGTCGCATTCATACACTTGAGACTCATCATAATCAACCAAGGAAGAGGAGTTTAGATTCACAAAATCATCATAATCATCATCACTCTCAACTCCCTTTCCTACACTCCTATGCTCAACAATAGGATCCTCACACACTCTTGGTTGTTCAAAATGATCATCATCATCATCCTCAACACACACACATCAAATTGAGATTTTTCACAAACAAGCATCAAGGATGACAATTGGCTTTCTAACTCATTTTTTCTTCTCTTTCCCTCCTCAAGACGCTCCTCATTCTTTTTCATTATCTCTAATTGACCTCTCATAGATTGAAGAATCATCTCCTTACTAGTCCCAAGATCATCATCAAGCTCAATGTGTCTAATTTGAGACTCAAATATATCAACAAGAGATTCAAAAGATGTAGAAGGTTGAGGCTCAACAAGGGAAGAAGAAGTACAACCAAGATTGGAAGAATCAACATTAAGATCATGAGCATATACATCACATTGGGGAGCGGGGGCACAATCAAGGACTTGAGATTCATCATCAAGGGAACGAAGCACATCACAAGAAGGCATGGTAAATAATGAAGAATATTAAAACACACCATTAGCATCAACTTGAGCATGTACTTCATCATCATGAACAAATGAAGAAATAAAGTTGAAATCATATGTTCTAGGTTCACTTAAGGGCTCATGTGACAAATCTTGGGAATTCATGCTAATATTAGAATAATCAACACATTACAAATCAATATTAGAATCATGATTACCCCTATCATAAACATCCCTAGCAAACCAAACATAAAAATTCCAAGCATCATCAATTGACAATGCTCTAAATTCACCATTATGTATGCATTCAACTTCATTTCTAGTTTGCTCATTCAAACCAAAATTACAAATCTCACAAGCCTCCAAAAGACTACAACAATTATAGTCCAAAAATCCCTCAAGTCTATTGAAATATTCACAAAAGGGCTCATTGTCAAATTGAGGAAATTATAGACATGCCATTTTTATACAAAACAAACAAAAATCAAATAAAAGAAAAGTATATAAAAAGACCTAGACTCAAGCAATCAAAAACACTCAAACATAGACACCGTTCCCCGGCAACGGCGCCATTTTGACGAGTGGAAAACTAGGTCGTTATCTAATCTCCCCTCGGTCAAACTAAATTTATAAACACTTAACAAACCTAAATACGAGTATAGAGGCAAGTCAAGGGTCGAACCCAAAGGAACGATAATGTTCAAGCACTTTCAATTATGCGCCTAAGCTAGGTCGAAGACGAAGGTAAGAGAGAATACTAACAACTAACAAAACAAGTAACCAAGGAAATAAAACACTAGGAACGGGGATCAACAAGTAATCATGTCAATTGCAACAACATGGGAAGAGCATGCCAATCAAAGTTTGTGAGGACTAATGATAAGAGCAATCAATAGGAATCAAAGAGCTATCTCCTAATTGTTAAGCTAGGGTTCACTATGAATAACAAACTAAGAGAATCACAATCAAAACCAATTGATAATTGCAATTCCTAAATCAATTGTTTATCTCATTAGCAATTATAATGCAATCTAGCATAATTCTCAAGGCCAAATTGAATTACACACATGCAAACCTTCACTAATCACTTTAATCTCAACAATCAATCAACACAATCCCCAAATTAATCACAATTAATCAATCATACAAGTTTCACCCAATTCCTAGCCAAACAACTATTCAAGAATCATCATCCAACTAACAACTATGGAAATCAAGAATCAACAAAATACCAAGAACAATTACACTAATCAAGCACCAAACATCAAAATTAAACCAAACAAACATAAAATTAAACAAATAAATAAGGTGAGATAGAGTTAAGAATGCTCATTGATAATAGAGAAGATCTTGAACACAATTGTCACACTTGCATCTTCAATCTCTCAATCACCATTGAAATTCCTCACTTTCTCTCTCTAAAACTACTCCTAATCTAGCCTAATCTAGGAGAGAAGCTCTCAACCTAAGAGAGAGAAAACTATTCGAAAACTAAAGAATTACATGAATGAAGAATAAAGGAAACCAAAAACTATATAAACAAAAAGAGAAAAGAAGCTTAAAATCGTAAAAGACCCAGAAACCCGCGCCCGCGGAGAAATCGGCCGCGCCCGCGGAGGGGAACGGACACCCCGATATCCGCGCCCGCGGCCCAAGCCTGCGCCCGCGGGGCCAAGTCCTGCGCCCTCGGGGAGCCCTCGGGACAACCGCGGGTACTTACTGCCCAAATACGGCAGTTTTGGAGCTACAGCAACCCCGCGCCCACGGGTACTGTAGCCCGCGCCCGCGGCAGTTTTCCAGGGCCAACTTCAGAAGGCTGTAACTTCCGATCTAAGAATTGTATGAAGTCGTGCGACCTATCATTGGACAGCTCTTCAGGTGTAGTTTCCAACCCAACTTGAATCACCCTAATCCGATATGTAGAACTTGAGATATGAATAAAACAATGCACAAAGGTCCTATTTGATACTTTGCAATTCTTCGTTTTCCTTTGTTTCAAACTCAAATTCAATTCCGAAAAGTGCATATTGATCCTAGTGAGTGCTATTTTCAATTCCCATGCATATAGCCCGCGACGTACCTACAAAACAAGACAAAGAAACGGAGAAGCAAGAGAAATAGCCGAGAAATGAATAAAATGATAAGAAAGCCATTAAAAGCATGCATTTCTCTAAACTAACACAAAAACACGCGAATCGAGCATTATTCTCTAAAAACACGACATAAACGACTACAAAGGAGTATAGAAATATAAAGAAAACATAGCCTAAAGGTGCCATAAATGGCACGGATCACTAATATGTGTTATGTCTTATTGACATTATCTCCTATTTGTCCTACTGTTCTCAATGATCATTTAAGTAAAGAACAATTCCAGTCCCTTGACATTTTGTTAAATTATTCATTTAGGAGTCCCTTTTTTACAGGTATTGACCTTGCATACATTGAGTCCCCCTATTTTTTTTTTTTTAATGTTGACTCCAAATGATGAAGGGACTCCATTGAATTACATTACTCACAAGGGCTTTGCTCCAACAATCCCCTTCAAGGGGTTGTTGTTGAGGTAACCTTGTGTTGAGATGGTGTATTAAAAAAAAAACATGCACTCTTCTGATGGTTTTCCAGCAACAACTTTATAAAAAAATTTCATTCCATTTCATTCAAAATGTGGCTTAAAGAACAACCTACCTTGTTGATACTAAGATACATTTGATTGCCTGTAATGTAAGAAGCATCCTAATAAACAAAATACACCTAATCACCTAGGCTTTTCACTTGATACAATAAAAAAAACAAAATAGAGAGATCAAAGAAACAATTACTACTAAGTGGTTATGTGTGGCAGTCAATGTTGTTGTTCTGATAACACTTGGAATTAGCTTTAGTCTGCATCCACCTCCATGTCTTCCTCTACATCATGATTGCCTTGAGTTGCTGGCCTAAACATAGTGTTTAGGTAATCAACAGCCCCCAACACAACTGCATTGTGTACCTTAACCTGATCTGGCAGAGTGCCAAGATTTTCCAGCTTCTTTTTGTTCATATGTGGAATTTTGTACTTGTTCCCTCCTTGGTCCCTTAGAATTTTAATCATGCATCTTTGCAATGTAACTCATATGTACTTGTTCACTTCTGGCTTGAATGTGTCATATGACTCATTGACCTTTGCAACAAGCTCATCTAGGTTTTTAGGGAAAGATTGAAATTGTAAAGATTGAATTGACCTAAACAAACCTAAATCCAACACATTCAAATCAGGGGACTGAGGGGGTTGAAATACAAACTGAATATTGAACCCATTTTTTGTTGTTGCTGCTATGAACTCCTCATCTCTTGGTATTTGATGAGGCCTTACATTGTCCCATTAGACCACCACATTTTTGGGTAAACAATCTGGACACTTAGAAATAATTGCTGGTATGACCTTGTTTAGCAACATATCTCTGGTCACTTCTCTATTGACATTTTGTAATGCCTTTGTTACCATTGTGCCTGTTGTCTTGTTCTTGCTTGACTTCTTAGCTCTCTCTTTGTATGTGAATGGAAATGCTCCATACTTTCCATCATGTAGAAGTACCCCATTTGTGTCATACAGTGGCTTGTCAATGACTGCCATGAACATAGCCTTAAGCGTGAATTTCTTTACTATTGTGCCATGTATGGGTCTTCTTCACTTGGTAGAAGATAAAATATTCTCTTATCAGGGTTCAGGTAGAACCATTTCTCATCTATGTTTATTTGTTGATGCATGTCAGCAAATGTGGGGTCCTCATTGTTTGTAACTGGGTGTATATGTAACAGAACCCATTTCAATCTTGCCACTTTGTTATTTGAGCTCAATGCAGGCTTGTTACTTACTATGTGTGTCCTAATCCTTCCCTTTTTATTCAAGTTGTGTAGTGCCACATGTGAAATCTTTAATGCAGCAGCATAACTTCTCTTGGTCTGCCTTAGATGTAAGGGGACTGACTGAAGGAATTCATCTGTGAATACCCTTGGATTTGGATCAGTTCTGCCTATATTCTTGGTCCTGACATCAATCAAATTCCCATTTTCCACCTGTTTTGTTATGTCAGTGAATATTATTGTGATTGTGGACTTGTGAACCTTGAATTGCACTGCCAATTGATTCTTGTAACCCCTTGGCAAATTCCCATCTTGCATTTTAATTAACATTGCATCAACAATCTCCCTTTTTTGATGCATTGTTAGCTGTTTTCTGTTGATCACTTCACTGCCTACTTGAGTAGTGTTATGCATGTCTTCATTGTTGTTGTTGTTGCTGCTCTTGTTGCTGTTGTTGTTGCTGTTGTTGTTATTGTTGTTGTTGTTGTTGTTGTTGCTATTGTTGTTGTTGTTGTTGTTGTTGTTGTTGTTGTTGTTGTTGTGTTTCAGTTTCTCCATCTTCTTCTTCTTGTTGTCTGTTTTTGTTTTCAAACTTATATTCCTCAATGTCTTCATCTTGCCTTTCTTCTTCCTCATCAAAATACAGTTCAGCTATTTCATCCTCTGTGTGATGAAGGTTTTTGAGGAGATGAAGCTGCCCTATGTTGTTTTTGTGTAGATAGTCAGAAGCAATGCTATGAATGATGATGAAGCTGGTAGTTTAGCACTAATTGTAGTTAGGGGGTAATTTTTTGTCTAAACATGGACTAATTGGGGTACTTAGTGCTAACCTTTTGTGTTTGACAAAACAATTTCAAAATTTAAATATTCTCATGGTTGTAAGGTTGAAACATTTATTGCTTTTGTGAAAATGGGGGCTGATATTTATAGCCCTCATAAATGGTGAATGTGAAACTTAAATGAATGTTGAAAAATTGAATGCTTGCCTTTTTTTTAAAAAAAATTTCAGTTGGAGGGAAATGAAATTTCCTCTAAATTTCAACCCATTTGAATTTGGGTGGCTGGGGCTTGGGCAAATTTAGGTAAAAAATGTAGAAGGAAAACTTTTCCCTCTTTCTTTTCCAGAATTCCCCACCAAAATACAAGGGGGGGGGGGTCCTACTTTCTCTCTCCAATCCCTTTAATTAACTTAACACTTACCCTTGTAATCTATGCTCTCATGTTTTGTCTAGGTAACTGAAATGTGCTTCAAAGTTGCACTTAATAATAAACGAAGGTAGCATACTAATTTGGTGCCCGTGTGATACTCGGGTTGTTTATTTAATTTTAAATTTTTTTTATCAATGTATCAAGTTTTTAAAATGTATCATTGATACAAAATTAGTAAGGAATTGATGTGGTTTTATAACAATTCTTGACCCGTACCCTCAAATGACTCAACCCGAAATAATCTATAACCCGTCTTTGACAGGTTTACATACAATAATAAAATCATATTAGATTGTGAAGTATTTTATTTCAATCAATTAGAGTATACTATAAATGAATGTTGCACGTTTTGAATTATTTCCTTCACTCCAAAAAAAAATTATGATATAAAAGTAACTCTATATGATAAAGTATTTAATTATTGTCTACGTAGCGCGACTTTAGTGAAAAGTTGAAACGTTAAGTGTCACTGACTTGCGGTTTGACTAAACTTACTATTTATTTTGTACTTGTGAAATATTGTTATTTTTATAGGAAATAAAACTTTTATCCTATAAATCTATCCAAATTTTATTGAAAATAAAACTCTAAACTAACTCTTTTTTTATCTAATATATCCAAATAAATCTTACGTGTCATACTACTATTTAAGTGTTGCCTACATGGCGCAACACTTGGCGAAAAGTTGAAACACCAAGTGTCGATGTCTCGTGATCTGGCTAAAAGTTTAGCTTTATATATTAACTAGTTTTGTGCCCATGCGATGCTCGGGTTGTTTATGGAATTTTAAGATAAAATTATATTATAATTCAATTTAATTGATTGAAAATAGAATTCTAAATTAACTTTTTTTTTTTTACAAAGTCTATCTATATTTATCCAACGTGGTACGACTCTTGGTGAAAAGTTAAAATGCTATACGATGTTGTCTTGTGGCCTAATTATAAGTTTATTATTTGGTATTTTATCGTAAATAAAACTATAAACTAACCATCTTATTCTAAATTCTATCCTAATTTGATTGAAAAAACAATTTTTAACTAACTTTTTTATCTTATGAATCTATTTAAATCTATCCAAGGTGGCGCGACACTTGGCGAAAAGTTAGAATGCCAAGTGTCACTATTTCGTGACTTGGCTAAAAGTTTAGTTTTATATATTAGTTATATGATTAGATGAAGCTCGTGCGATGCACGACTTGTTTGAATTTTTTCAAATATATATATATATATATATATGTGTGTGTGTGTGCGCGCGCGTGCTAAAATTTGTTATATATTTAGATAAAACTTCTGGTATCAAAAGATAATATTTTATATTTAATTAATTTAAATTGGAAAATCTCATTCGCCAAAATCTCGTATTTAATTGGTTACCACTAAAATTTATTATTCTATGTGACGTGTTGAAAAAATTAAAACCTACGTGGCTCTCTAAGAACTCGGGAACAAAATCTTTTATATATATATGCTGAAAACATATATAAAAACAAGGCTTATGCTGAAAACAACAAATCTCAACCATTTATTATTAGCCAAAATATCAGACGGTTCAAAATCCCCAACCTTACATATAATCATTTTAATCGTTTTAAAGGTCACTATATACTAAATAAAGGTAATTTTTTCTAAGTTGACGACATTTAGATAGAGTCACTATATATAAAAATAACTTAACTATATCAATTTTTAGTTTTTGACGATAATTACATAGAGGTCACTATATATAAAAATAAGATAATTATTTCAAGTTATATTAATTTTGGCGATATTTACTCATATATAGGTCAACATATATAAAAATAAGGTAAAAATTTCAATTTTGACGACGCTTGCATTGCACAGAGGTCACTATATATAAAAATGAGGTTACTTTATCTATTTTGACACATTTACATAAAGGTCACTATATATAAAAATAAGGTAACTATCTACATGAAGGTCACTATATACAAAAATAAGGTATTTATATCAATTTTGACGACATTTACATTAAGGTCATTATGTACAAAAATAGGGAAATTATATCAATTTTGACCATATTCTCATAGAAGTCACTATTATACAAAAGTAGGGTAACTATAAAGGTCACTATACAAAAACAAGATTCCTATATCAATTTTGATGGTAACCTCCAACCAAAGTCAAGCAACACCCAATCTACGAGCCACTTGAACTCCATACCTTGCTGCCGCGGCTTCTGCATCCTCCAAGATAACTATTCTGCTTCCTCTGCCTTCTCATCACAAGCAACAACACCAAGGCCCACATATTTGCTGCCCAAAATGCGCATCCACATTTACCTTTGTGACACCCATAGTAGGTCGAATCCATGCTACAACCATAGAGAAATCGGCTTACAAACACCTTAGTATAGAGGCTATAATCAGCAACAAGCTTAGTAAAACCCGCAGTTGTTTGGACAGCGTTGTTCAGCAAGTTCTCGTGTTTTGCCATGTTCCTGCAGTACAATTTAGAAATTTTGAAATTACAGTAATAGGCTTCTAGCACACAAAAGAAATAAAACTATCTACTCATATTATTGCACGAAATCAAAAGCAATAAAGCGATTTCTCCAGTTTCAACAGCAACTATTTTTGTATTTTTATTCCACAATCATCAAAATCAGCAAATATCGAATAGAATATAGCAAATTAATTTGGCACTCATTTTTACACATTTTTTTTCACATGCAATTGCATACCAGATTCATCCAAACAAACACAATGCCACATATATCACAAATCAACCAATTTGATTACAAACTGAGAAACAATCAAATTAGATCTAACAAAAAAAAAAACGTATTTTCAATCAAATAATAAAGACATTACCACTGTTGCCGATTTTCAATTTGACTAACCTCTACACCACCATTGTTATACCTCCATTGGAAAAGCAATTTCAATCACACTTACCACCATTTTTTCTTCACTTTCAACCCCCCTTAAAAAATTTATACTTAATTCATCAACAATCCACACCATTTTTCCAATTAATTGCACAGACTCATAGTTCTAACACCTCTAATTTTGTAATCAACACAATATATTCTAGGTTTATTTTTTTTTAATTTAATCGAAATCACAATCGTATCAATTTGATTTCCCCCAAAAATCGTAGAATATAGCAAATTAAACACAAATCATAAATGAAAAAATCACTTTTTTGAAGCTAACATCGAAATCGATGAAGATTGAACCAAATCTCTATGTATTTTGACGAATTTTAGCATTGATTTTGAGTTGGGAAGGAGAGAGAAGGAGGGAGATGGAGGAGAGAGAAAATAGAGTATAAAAATAAAGGAGAGATAATGGATTGTCATAATTCAGGAAATAAAAACACTTAAATGCACCAGATCTAATCTAATCCGTTGGATGAAATTTCAATGGTCAAGATTACCTGTTTTTGGTTTTCAGCTTTAGACTTGTTTTCACTTGATCTATTCCCTATATATATATATATATATATATATATATATATATATAGGATTAGGATCACGTAAAAACAAGTCTTACGGTGAAAACATGAAAACAATTAATCCCAGCCGTAGATTATAATCTAGCGGATGATATTTAATGTATATATATCCTAATTTTCTCTCTCCTCCCGCGAAAACACTTTATCTTTCCTTGTTATTTTCTTCCTCCTCTTCCTTCTCTCTTCACTTTCTCTCTCCTAATTTCTCGACATTAGCGAACTCCTTCAGCAACACCGCTTCAATTACCATCAGCGAACTCCTTCAGCAACACCGCTTCAATTACTTTGATTTTTAGCAATTTCTCAGCTCTACGATCTATTATCAGGTGAGTTCTTTGTGGTAATTTCGCTATTTTTGCACGATTTGAGGTTATTAGGTTTCTGAAATTTTGTTTGCTGGAATTTCATGAGTACTTTTTTGTAGATTCAACCGAAAATTTAATGTCTATTATGTTTTTCGTGTATGATTTTTGTTTAATTTTGTAATTTTGCAAGTTTTTTTATTTATTTTTTCGATTTGATTTGATTTTTTGAATATCAACTTAAGTTTCGTTTTAGTAGAAGTATTTTTTAAATGTATTTTGTTTAATTTTTCTTAATTTAAGTAAACTAGGTTTTTATGTGTATTTTTGCTCGAAATTCTGCTTTTGTTGTTGTTCTTCATCTTCTTAGTAACACGATTTTTGTTGAGCATAATTTTGTTTTTGTTGATTTCGAGTTTAGCTGATTTTTGTGGATTTTGATTTCGAATTAATGCCTGTTAGGAATGCGAATAGCTAAAATGCGAATTGTGTGTGTGTGTTTGTGTTTGGAGTAGTTAATTTGAATTTTGAGTAATTTGAAGTGTTTTTAGTGGATTTGTGAGTGAATTCGGGAGAGTTTGGAGTAGTTAATTCGAATTTTGAGTAATTTGAAGTGTTTTTAGTGGATTTGTGAGTGAATTCGGGAGAGTTTGGAGTAGTTAATTCGAATTTTGAGTAATTTGAAATGTTTTTTAGTGGATTTGTGAGTGAATTAGTGAGAGTTTGGAGTAGTTAATTCGAATTTTGAGTAATTTGAAGTGTTTTTAGTGGATTTGTGAGTGAATTAGTGAGAGTTTGGAGACATAAATTAGCTACACTGGTTCCTGCTTCCACTTGGTGTCCAACTCGATTTGTATTTTCCCGTGTTCCGTTTGGTGTAGGCAACAGGAATGGTCATCAATCTCTTGCTAATGATGATCTGGAATTGAGACCTGACCAACATGGTGACATGTTTGGAGATGGACTAACTGCCTTGGTTGCATTGGTGTTCCTTGATGCTGTTGTGTTTCTCTCTTACAACCTGTCTTTTCTTATTTGTGATTTGAAGTGGTTTCAGCTGCATCAAATGTCATTAGGTTCCTACATGAATTATTTGCCTTTTGCACTTAGATAAATTTTCTGGTGTTTGTGATATTGATGCAAAGACTCTTTCCACATCAACCGTAGAAAGAAAGAAAGAAAGAAAGAAAGAACATAAAGTATGAAGAATGCTTCCTGGTTTAAGATACTGACTTTGATTCTATATGTCCGATTTTTGGTGTTGAGCAGATTGCTTAAGCGACTAACCCAGGAGCTACAGACATCTGGGGTGGATTTGTGATAGATTGCTTCTGATCATGCTAAATCGACATCTACATGACTTTCTTGACTGTTGAAAAGTGTACTTCTAGTCTGACATATGTGCATGGTTAATTTGACTCTGTACTGGATTTTGCTTCAAAATTTCTGAATTAGGCCTGTTTTGAACTTGAATCAAGGTAGCCAGAATTCGAGGATTTGGATACCTTAGTTTGATCTGATTTTCACTGCCCTGACCTGACCTGAATTGATTTTTTTATTCGTAAACAAATTGGTTGTCAAAAGACATAAATATGAATATGACCTGAACTTGTTCTAAACCAAACCAAAATAAACTGAATCTTTTTGGAGGGGTGTTGGACTATGTTATTTTTGAAGTTTTGTTTTAAAAAAAGGTCACTATGCCATAAAAAGAGGCAACTACTTTGGTTTCTTTTGTTTATCTTTTCGTATGTCTTGTTACAGGGTGCAACAAGGATTTTCATTCGATTTGGATTAGATTTTATTCCTATGGTGAGAACTAGAGGTGGTGCTACTTTTAAAAAAAGGAGAGGCCTTCGTAGCTCAACAGGAGGAGTTAAATTGAAAGATACAGGAGGTATGATGAATGTTTGATTTTTGGATTATTAACCTTAATATACTAGTTGCTCTATTATGATAGTCTCCTAATACTATAGAATGTAGGTCCCTATATTAATATAAAAGTTACTATATTATTAGTTCCCTATGTAACTGAAAAAGGTCACTATATCAATGACAATGATTATTATTTTTAAGTTATTAGTTTGCTATATTATAATTGTTTGCTAGATGAAAATGAAGATAATTGTATATATAACTATATGCTTGCGTGTTTTTAGCATGTATCAATCTCGATCATGAAGATGAAGAGCATATTGATGGTGGAAGCAAAATGATCGATGATGATACTAACAGAGATAAAGATGCTTGTATTGAAAAAGGATTGAAAAAGAAAGCTATCACTAAGAAAAAGAAACCTTCTAACATTGAGAATGCTATACCTTTGTCAACTGAGATGGAAGGAAAGAAGGGGAATGAGTCTTCTTCTTCACATGCTATTGTTTTGCCAGCTAAGAAGAGAAAGTTGGATGAAAATGAAGGTCTTAAAGTGAAGAAAGTGAAGGCAAATAAGGATAAGAACATTGTGATTCATAGGCAAGAATCTGCAATCATAGATAGTGATGTACATATGTAAGTGAATATTTGTTTCTTTTTTTTTGAAGTTTTGTTTAAAAAAAAGGTCACTATGCTATAAAAAGAGGCTACTATTTTGGTTTCTTTTGTTTATCTTTTCGTATGTCTTGTTACAGGGTGCAACGAGGATTTAAAACACGTTGCAGGCCATTTCATTTAGTAGAGATGATTAAAACTTTTTCAGATGATCAAATCAAGGCTGTTAAAGAAATTGGCTTTGGAGGTTTGTTATCTTTGAAGGTGAAACGAACTGCAACTGATATGCTATCATGGTTGGTAGATTGTTTTGATCATGGTAGCTGCATGTTTACTATTGATGGTAAAAAAGATTTTGTTGTGACTGAATTTGATGTGTATGATGTTTTTTGCCTTCCTTGCAAAACATCTAAGAAAGTTGAAGAAATTTCTCGTTGTGCTAATGTCATCAACCCTGATTATGATTTAAAGGTTAAATGGAGGTCTCATTTTGGTCTTATGGGTGAGAATGATCAGATTCCTTTGGGTTTTTTGGAATCTAAGATCCCTTTACTAGTAGATGGCGGGGAAGAATTCAGACAGCTTTTTATCATGCATGCTTTTTCAAGTTTTTTAGCACCTACGTCCAACAGAACTGTGGATTTGAGAATTGTAAAATGTTTGGTTGATGTTAATCAAATAAGAATTTATAATTGGTCAAAATATGTCTTAGATAGACTTTGTGAAGCCGTGAAGAGCTACAAAGAAGGAAATATAGAATGGTTTTGTGGTTGTGTTTTGATGTTAGAGATTATCTATTTTCATCGATTGAGGTTTAGGAATGTTGTGTTAAATTCTACAATACCTTTAATTCAACATTGGACTGATGTGGATATAAGAGATAGAATTAGAAATGAAAAGTTGTCCAAGGGTTTTGGGTGTGGAATTCTTGAGTTTGATACATATCCAGTGAGTGAGAAGTTGCAATTTGAGGATGGAAAAGTTGTTTGTAATCAATTCAAGGAAGCTCCTGTGAATCAAACTTCTGGAAAAGAATCTGTTGTTTATGAAGGTGTCCGTAGCAATGTTAAGGGTGTTATTCAGTTTGAGCTACCTGCCAGTTCAATGTCTAATGAGGAAATCCGTTCAATTACTATTGATGTAAGTATTTTACCCTTTAATTCTGTCTGTCTGTTTGGTTTTTTCTTTTTTTTTTTTTTTTTTTTTTTTTTTTTTTGTCACAAATTATTTTATTAAATCTAAGTGCTACATTTTTTTTTCACAGGAAGTTTATGAGAAGTTTTTGCTCATGAAAAGAGATTTAGAAGTGGTATCTAACTTCTACATGAATGAGTTGAAAGTGTTATTTCAGACTCGTAAATCTAATGATGCTTCAACTTCGACACCTCCAATGTCCCAAACTGATTTATTCTTTATGAATCCTCGTGTTCATGAAATTTTTGATGAGATTGTGTCTCTTGTAAATTGGGTAAGCAAAGTGCCTAATGGTTTGGATGATGATGATATTGATGATAATGGTGCACCTGCAAAAGAGATTAATGTTGTAGTTGGTGAGGTTCCAAGGATAGGTTTTGAGCATGTTTTGAGTAATGGAAAATCTAAATGCTCCCTTGCTATGGATGTTAGTCTCTTTGGTGATAAAGTTACATATGTAACTGAATATATGAAGTCAAGTAATAAGGATATGAAGGTTTTGGATGCAGTTGTCCAGGAACTTGTTGACTACTGCATTAGTGATTATCATGGTTTCGATCTCAAGTAAGTCATGTCATTGTTCTTTTTGTTATTTATTTTCAAATTTTAATAATAAGTGACTATGTTAATATACATGTGTCTTTTTATTTCCTTGTACAGTGAGGTGTTGGTATCTTTTGGCAAACCATTTGAGATTACAAGGAATGAATTCCTTTCATTAGGTGCACCGGCTATTGCTATATCTTCTGTTATTATTGATTGTTGGGCTATGTTGCTTAATGAAAACCAGAAGAGTAGTGCACATGGACCTCAAAAACTATATTTTGGTGTTTCTCAAAGTGTAAGTATCTTTCGGCTATTTAGTTACTACATCATTATAATGGTAGTTGTTCATTATAAAAAATTCATAAATTAATTTCACTATGTATTGAAAACAGTCACTATGATTCATAAATTAATTTCACTATGCAATGAAAACAGTCACTATGTAATGCAAGTAATTACATTTAAGAAAAATAACTCTACCTTCTAATTTTTTTAATATTTATTAATGTTTGTTCTTTTTTAGGCTTTTTTACTGAAAGTTGCAAACACAGATAGTAACACACAAGACATTGACAAGCTATTTGACATTTGGTCAAGATGGTTGTTCATTCCTTGCAATGATTTTGATATTGCAAATGTTACTATCTGTGCACTACTCTTGATGTTCATTCCTTGCAATGATTTTGATATTGCAATGATTTTGATAAAACATGCTCAAAACCTATCCTTGGAACCTCACCAACTACAACATTAATCTCTTTTGCAGGTGCACCATTATCATCAATATCATCATCATCCAAACCATTAGGCACTTTGCTTACCCAATTTACAAGAGACACAATCTCATCAACAATTTCATGAACACGAGGATTCATAAAGAATAAATCAGTTTGGGACATTGGAGGTGTCGAAGTTGAAGCATCATTAGATTTACGAGTCTGAAATAACACTTTCAACTCATTCATGTAGAAGTTAGATACCACTTCTAAATCTCTTTTCATGAGCAAAAACTTCTCATAAACTTCCTGTGAAAAAAAAATGTAGCACTTAGATTTAATAAAATAATTTGTGACAAAAAAAAAAAAAAAAAAAAAAAAAAAAAAAAAGAAAAAACCAAACAGACAGACAGAATTAAAGGGTAAAATACTTACATCAATAGCAATTGAACGGATTTCCTCATTAGACATTGAACTGGCAGGTAGCTCAAACTGAATAACACCCTTAACATTGCTACGGACACCTTCATAAACAACAGATTCTTTTCCAGAAGTTTGATTCACAGGAGCTTCCTTGAATTGATTACAAACAACTTGTCCATCCTCAAATTGCAACTTCTCACTCACTGGATATGTATCAAACTCAAGAATTCCACACCCAAAACCCTTGGACAACTTTTCATTTCTAATTCTATCTCTTATATCCACATCAGTCCAATGTTGAATTAAAGGTATTGTAGAATTTAACACAACATTCCTAAACCTCAATCGATGAAAATAGATAATCTCTAACATCAAAACACAACCACAAAACCATTCTATATTTCCTTCTTTGTAGCTCTTCACGGCTTCACAAAGTCTATCTAAGACATATTTTGACCAATTATAAATTCTTATTTGATTAACATCAACCAAACATTTTACAATTCTCAAATCCACAGTTCTGTTGGACGTAGGTGCTAAAAAGCTTGAAAAAGCATGCATGATAAAAAGCTGTCTGAATTCTTCCCCGCCATCTACTAGTAAAGGGATCTTAGATTCCAAAAAACCCAAAGGAATCTGATCATTCTCACCCATAAGACCAAAATGAGACCTCCATTTAACCTTTAAATCATAATCAGGGTTGATGACATTAGCACAACGAGAAATTTCTTCAACTTTCTTAGATGTTTTGCAAGGAAGGCAAAAAACATCATACACATCAAATTCAGTCACAACAAAATCTTTTTTACCATCAATAGTAAACATGCAGCTACCATGATCAAAACAATCTACCAACCATGATAGCATATCAGTTGCAGTTCGTTTCACCTTCAAAGATAACAAACCTCCAAAGCCAATTTCTTTAACAGCCTTGATTTGATCATCTGAAAAAGTTTTAATCATCTCTACTAAATGAAATGGCCTGCAACGTGTTTTAAATCCTCGTTGCACCCTGTAACAAGACATACGAAAAGATAAACAAAAGAAACCAAAATAGTAGCCTCTTTTTATAGCATAGTGACCTTTTTTTTAAACAAAACTTCAAAAAAAAGAAACAAATATTCACTTACATATGTACATCACTATCTATGATTGCAGATTCTTGCCTATGAATCACAATGTTCTTATCCTTATTTGCCTTCACTTTCTTCACTTTAAGACCTTCATTTTCATCCAACTTTCTCTTCTTAGCTGGCAAAACAATAGCATGTGAAGAAGAAGACTCATTCCCCTTCTTTCCTTCCATCACAGTTGACAAAGGTATAGCATTCTCAATGTTAGAAGGTTTCTTTTTCTTAGTGATAGCTTTCTTTTTCAATCCTTTTTCAATACAAGCATCTTTATCTCTGTTAGTATCATCATCGATCATTTTGCTTCCACCATCAATATGCTCTTCATCTTCATGATCGAGATTGATACATGCTAAAAACACGCAAGCATATAGTTATATATACAATTATCTTCATTTTCATCTAGCAAACAATTATAATATAGCAAACTAATAACTTAAAAATAATAATCATTGTCATTGATATAGTGACCTTTTTCAGTTACATAGGGAACTAATAATATAGTAACTTTTATATTAATATAGGGACCTACATTCTATAGTATTAGGAGACTATCATAATAGAGCAACTAGTATATTAAGGTTAATAATCCAAAAATCAAACATTCATCATACCTCCTGTATCTTTCAATTTAACTCCTCCTGTTGAGCTACGAAGGCCTCTCCTTTTTTTAAAAGTAGCACCACCTCTAGTTCTCACCATAGGAATAAAATCTAATCCAAATCGAATGAAAATCCTTGTTGCACCCTGTAACAAGACATACGAAAAGATAAACAAAAGAAACCAAAGTAGTTGCCTCTTTTTATGGCA